GAATCCATGGTTCATTCGCGACCGAAAGGCACTCGAACGTCCACAGAGAATAGCAACTAAAATGGCCAAAGGGTTACAATCTAAGACCTACGGAGAAAGGCTGCAAATTCTCGGAGTCTATTCGTCTGAACACCGTCGAATGCGGGGAGACATGATCCTCGTATATCAAACACTACATCAACCTAACCACCCGTGTAGTACTCTGCTAACACTATCCAGCAATGGTCACCTCAAAGGATATCTGTTTAAACTTTTACTCAAAAAGAGTCGGATAGACTATAGGTGTCATTCTTCCAGCCTCAGAGTTTGTAATACCTGGAACTCTCTTCCACCTCAAGTTGTTTGTGCACCAACCATCGATACATTCAAATCACGACTGGATTAAGCACTGAAGCACCTAACTTTTCAGCACTTGTAAGTGGACCTTATAATTTGCTATTTAATTGTACTTTCAACCGAACCCAGTGTGCACAGATCCTATGGGATTCAATAAATATCAGCTTTGTAGTTCACTGATGACAAAAATTTGAATCTGAATGATTTATTTGGAAATTAGTTATGAAGATTTCCCAAAAAAATTATTTCACATCACTTTCATTACTGGATGGTGAGAAGTCCGGCCGAAATAGCAGGGAGCTTTCATATGCATGCATGGAAATATTTTCAACGCTTCGATAATCGTGCCCCATTCTTACTGAGATACAGTTTTCATCGGAATATCAACACAACGCATTGCTTGACTAACTTTTCTGTAAATTACTTGGGTGTCCACATACACAAATTCCAACTCTTTGGGCAATCGCTTTTAATCATGAGAAAACACGAAATAGCGAACAAGCCCATTTTCGATAAAATCCTCTTCTGGTTAATGCAGCTAGATAATTAGGTAATAGACATGCCACATTTCGGCAGCGATTTGTGTGTGTGTGTGTGTGCTTTCTCATAACCAAACTACAATGAGGCCGATAAAGAAAATAGGCAAACTTTCCAGAGTAACCTATGAAACAGACTGCATAGAAGTTTATCACCGCCAATTTACAAAACTTGGAGACGTTACACTCACTGATATATGGATGTATTAAACTTGCTTGGATCGGTGAACAGACAAAGAGGAATTCGTACTACTTAGCAATTTGTTAAATGCTACATTTCTGTAGGGCTGGGTTTAGGTTTCGGTGTGTGTGTGTGTGTGTGTGTGCGTGTGTGTGTGTGTGCGTGTGTGTGTGCGTGTGTGCGTGTGTGTGTGTGTGTGTGCGAGGGGTATTGTGGGAATATCAGATCAACGAGCGAAAACGCACCAGATTGAGTGGCGATCAGCCTACTCATCACACGACCGACTGGGTGTTTGATAACTGCGCTTACTTGTTACATCTTTAAGAAACAGTCTGTACATTTAGTTGAAAATACCCCTAGGTATGTCCAGAAGGTGTATCTGTAATTCTGCTGAGTACAGTAACAAGGAAAGTGTGAAGTAGGTGCAGATGTTGGTTAGCATTCTTTGGGAATCGTCAAACCAACCAGTCAAGTGTGGCTGGATAAAAAAAAGTGAGCTCTCGTGTGCCCCCTTTCGTTTCATATGAACTTAGTGCATATCTCACAACGCGGTCCGGTTTTCAAAACGTTGTTTAGTGCATACTTCCGTAGAGTGATGAACCTGATATCCGGGATTAACACCCAACTCACAACGCAATCAGATAGTACGTAAGACGAAATTCAAATAGCGCTTATAGAATCTACGATGAATACACAGGTAACAGAACGAAACCAACGCGAACGGTAGGATGAAATATCTAAGTCTTACAGCGGCAGTTAACAATAAATACCGATCTTGTTAATCTAGTCCAAACGCACGGCCTGGGCGAAAAAAAATCAGCTCTGGGCAGCAGAAATAATATTGAACGTGGTCCTATAAATAAGTACAGTATCAAATATGTAAAAAAATAGATACTCAGGACCAGATTGACGCGACCTCCATTTAACTAGCGAGTCAAAGACAAAATGAAAATCAACAATTTTAAAGCGCAGTAGTGTAATTAAACAGAAATAGAAAAAGATGGAAAGCATAGAAATTTTAGGTCTCGTATAGGACGCAAACGGTTGGGATATGGCGTAGCGCAAAAATGGATAGAAGTTAAAGTTTGGACAATAAAGGATTCTCAGATCTTTTACACTCCCGCAGCGGTTCATATTTATTCTTAAATTGTCTGCTATAGTTCGTCTTCCAGTTTTCCTTTTAGAAGACACATCTGCCGGATATCTCTTTTCAGTATCCCTTTGCTGGTTCTCACGTAAACTTCGCGAACACATCCGTCTGCACTGGTGACAACTTCATCCATGATACCTTTAGACCACAGACCCTTTGAGGTGCGCGTATCACAAACTAAAATTAATTTGCCCTTCCTAAGGTTCTTACACTTATCAAGCCATTTTGGTCTCCTCTGTAGTGTAGGTAGTTAGCTCCGTATCCATCTTTTCCAAAATATTTTGCTCAACTGCTTCACCTGTAACCAACATCTACTCAGCTTTAGAGGTAAGTATATGTTTTCATCCGTTGTTGGTTGGTTGGTGTACATCGTTAGCGATTCTCGAGGGGATAAAGCGGCATACGGATCCGGTGAATCTGGGACAGGAGTCAGTAGTCTGTCGTTCAATATCTCTTCTACTTCGATGAAGGCGGTTAATAAAACAACATGCACATGGTGCATTGAATATCCAGTCTCACTCCTTGTTGCTAGCCCGTTAGGTAAGCCTTTGCTGATTCCATGCTTTCAGAAGAGATTTCAGTTCAGTCTCTGCTCCATGAAAGTTTTGGCCGTTGTCACTGTACAGCCTCGACGGCCAACCAAGCCTGGCAGCAAAACGTGTGAACGCATATAGGAAGGAGTCTTTATGCAGTAGTGGGGACACTTTAATGTGCACTGCTCTATTTGTCAGGCAAGTGAACAAACAGCCGTACCTATGTTCAAGTACACGCTCATGGGCAACTATGATTGGTCCAAAGTAGTTGACACCTACGGTGCTGAACGCCTGTTGGTAGGCGGCATATTGATCCGGAATAAGTAGTGCCATCAGTTGTTGCATTGGTCGAGCATTACGAATACGACACGACACGTAGCGGTTAAGTACTCTTTTGACGGACTCAATGTCGCCGATCATCCAGTACCTTCTTTGGGTCTTAGGCAAGGTATGTTGGACTCTTACATGACCGTTCATAATGTGGTAGTGAAATATTAGCAGACGTGCCACGTAATGTTTACTGGGCATCAAGATCGGGTGTTTCATACTAAATGGAAGTGATAAGTATGTTAATCGACCACCGACTCTAATAATTCCATAGTTTAGAAACGGCACTAATTTTTGTAACCGGCTTGACTCCAGCTGCATGCATCTCCTGGCCTTCGTTGTATCTTCACTCTCGAGTATGAAAATGTCCGCAGGAAATACCTCTCGTTGTAGCAGTCGAATCAGGATGGTGGTTGAATTCCGAATATCTGCTGCACTTGTGCTGCCCGACACATTTCCTATCGGTTTGTGGAGAAATCGCGAAATGTAATGCATCTTATATCTGAGTAATTCTTCTTTATAAGGATATTCAGGTGGGGCAAGTCT